TTACAATTAAAGTAAAAAGTGTTTGTTCTTGATTCAGTGAAAATTTACAAATATCGCAATATCTGAAATATTGGGTAAAAATAAGAAAAAATCGATTAAAAATAACAAAGAATGATTAAAGAGATTACGAGATGAGGTGAAAAGTTTTATTACAGGCAAATGCCATATAATCAACTGTGATGTAGACTTATATATGAAAGGAATAGGCATTGAAAAATGTCACACATTCAACCAGAATCAGAGTTTCGTTTAAGACATTTTGTCAATTACACAAGTCTAACATTGCATTCTAGTAAACGATAAGTGCCTGTCTCTGGTTTTCAAGGTTTAATCCATGTGAAAATTTCAAGTAGACAATATATACCATATTTTGACTTTTAGTTAAGTTGATTTAATTATTTTCGATCTTGTCCTTAAAAATTATTTGTATTTTGGGCGATAATAATGGCAACATTTCAGTTTTAGTGATTCCGTTTTAGATTCTATTTAATATTATATTTTTAATCCGGCCACACTGATTTGTAAAGTGATAACTTCGCGTATTTCAGGGGCTAGCTCCTGATTATTTAGAAGTTTCGTTACTACAGATGGCATTCGGCACATAAGAAATCGTTATGTATCTACTTCTGTTAGGGTAAGTTGCAATGAATGAGTTTGCTGAACGCGACCCAACCAACGAAACGTTCCATATCTCTTGCTGTGCATTATTCCTTAGTGCAATTAATTAGGTCGATCTAGATCCTAATCCGTTGGTTGTGTTGAGAAATAATGTACGTATACTTACGTAACATAAATCTTTAAAAGTTGGATATTAGTTACATACATTTGGAAGTTTGAACGGTTTGGAACGGTTGAATAGAACGTTTAACATAAACGGTCAAAATTTTTCGTTTCACTAATAACTGTTTGAGCCCAGATACAAAAGGCAGAGGTCGAATTAGAAACCCATCCCTGTAAAAATTATGAGTACTACGAAAAAAGCAAACGTAAGCAGAAATTTTGATGGAATGAGCGGAACTTCGGCTTCAAATAATATGACAGTGTTGGAGAAAACCTGCAACATACAATGGTGTCTGATGTTAAAAATGATCTTTTCCGTATGAAATATTACGAAAATTGGAACGTGGAATATTCGTACTCTATATCAGAATGAAAGACTCGCTGAGCTGTTATGGACATTTGATGAAAACCTGTTGGACATCATTGGCGTCAGTGAGGTCATATGGACGACAAACTGCCGAATCAGTAGTAATGGCAACACTATTCTGTACGAGGGCCTTGATGAGCAGGATGAAGGTGGAATAGGTCTTATTCTAAGTAAACGTGCACTACTTGGATGGACGCCCTTCACTAATTGGATTAGTACAGCTCGTTTTACCCATTGACATGCTAATGCGACTGTGGTATAGGTTTATTCGCCAACCATCGATGAGGAGGACACAATACAAGATGAATTTTATGAGCAGCTCCAAAACGTCATTGATGGTATCCGGAATCATGAGCTGAGGGGTCCTGATCGGGGACTTCAATGCCGAATTTGGCCGTGATCGTCGAGGACTCGCAGCTTGGTACTCATGCATCCTCTGCTTATATGAGTGACAGTGGAGAAAGGCTAACGTCGTTATGTGAACACAACGGTTGTGTTGGGAACACCTTCTTCAAACATTGGCTTAAGTATCCATAAGAAGACCTTGCGGTTACACCAGACAGGCACAATAGAGATGAGATAGACTTTATTTGCATTTGTAAAAAGTAGAGGTCATCATTGCACAATGTGGGGGTTTACAGAAGTGTCTATATTGGATCTCACCATTACCAAGTTAGGGCGGATAATCATCGTAATCAGAGGAAGTTTATGTTAAAAAAAACTGTTCGTGTAAGAAAAATTAAATAATCCAACCATTGCCGAAGCATTTACTTTGGAGTTGCACAATCGCTTCGCCTTTCTTGGAGAGATGATAGATATAAAAGATCTCTGAAAGAACCTCAGAGACATTAACATAGAGTTCACTCAAAACATCATTGGAAGACGTCGAGAAAAACGAAAGGATCAGTGAATCCAAGATCGCTTGTGAAAGTTGATTGATAAGAGAAAAGCCGCAAAACTTAAAAAGGACCAGGCTAAAACAATGGCTGAGAAAGAGGAAGAAAACCAAAGATATAACGAGTTAGATAGACGTGTAAAGAAAAGCTGTCGGAAAGACAAGAAGAAATGGTTACTCCAAAAGTGCGCTGAAGTGCAGGAGGCTTATGATCGAAATGACTCCAAGACCCTGTACCGGATAGTCAATGAACTGGCTGAAATGATAAGTAACTCCAGCGTTTCAATACAAGACAAAAACGAGAAGCTTCTGATCGCTGAAGATGAACAGAACAGAGGTGGATGGAACATTTTCGAGAAACATTTAATCAAGCATAACCGATCATCATATACGATTTTGATATTGAGGATACATAGTATGAGATTCAGGTAGACACTGGTGATGCTGGCATGCGATTAAGAGTCTAGTGAATAGTAGGGCAGACGGTTGGACGAAATTACGTCTGAGATTTTGAAGCATGGAGGGCAGCACATGTTGGAAAAGTAACGTTATTGTTTAACTGGAGTTGCTAATTTAGGGAAATCCCAGAGGATTGGAGAAGGGGATATATAGTGAGAATTCTTAGGAGAGGGGGGATATCACCGAGCGTACTAACTGGCAAGGTATCACCTTCTTTTCTGTGCCTGGAAAGGCATTTGTGTGGTCCTCCTTCGACGCATGCGGATTGCCCTCAATCAACGCTTGCGGGAGGTGCAAGCTGGGTTTCGCTGTGGAAAATCGTTCAGCGAGCAGATCTTATCCCTTCGATATATCATCGAACAATGCGTTAAGTATCGACATACATCGGACATCAATTTCATTGATTTCAAGAAGGCTTTAACAGTGTTCACCGCGAGTCTATTCTGTGATTATATGGTGTACTGACAAACTTTGTCACCATTTACCAGGAGTTATATCTGCATTCAAGTTGTTGTGTCCTACTGACTTTCTTAAATTACGACAGGAGTCAGGCAGGGTTGTGTCCCTTTCCTCTTTCTCATCGCCCTTTATTATATCATATGATGGGCAGAAGAGTCCGGTGCGCGCTGGTCATCTACTAATCTGACCAGGACGGTTTTCGAGATTTGATTTTTGCTCACAATATTGCCTTATTAGATGAAAGGTAGACAATGCTATAGCACGCCACACGCTGCAATGGATTGGGAGACGCATAAAATTGGCCTCAGGATAAACGCTGTGAAGTCGAAATTTAAGCATGTATGTAACACTGCCCAAACGTGGGGAGTAATTGTCGGAGCACACTATTGAAGGAGGTGTGTAAATTTACATAATTGGGTAGTGTTATTTGCCTAAAAATGGCGACGAAGAAGTGGATGTGAGGTGTCACATTGGAAAAGCGGCGATTGACTTCTGGCTTATGTACAAGATCTGGTCTATTCCCCTTTGGAATTCGACAAAATCAAAGAATTAACTTATAAACAATAATTCTTATAAATTAAAGATCCTAATCGTCACCTCAATATACTAGGAACCTATTTCCTCAAACTCTCAAGACTTTCTATAATCGTCGATCCACAAATCGAATAAATTCAAAATCGCCTNTAAACAATAATTCTTATAAATTAAAGATCCTAATCGTCACCTCAATATACTAGGAACCTATTTCCTCAAACTCTCAAGACTTTCTATAATCGTCGATCCACAAATCGAATAAATTCAAAATCGCCTTGGAACTATTTGATCCTATCGGACACCTCTCTCGTTCACTGCTACGAAGCTCACCAAAGCTCGTTGCTATCAGGAATTCACCTCCACACGGAATCATTTATTAAAGTAAATCATCCATCTCACTGAGAACCAAATTTTGCGTGTTCACCTCCATCGTGATTCTGATAGCCGTTTAAGTTAGTGAGTCCTGGAATATATCGGAAAACAATTACAGAAGGTTCGATGTCTTCCAACAGAAATGCCTACGATGAATCCCAAAGATCTGATATTCAGATCTAACCACCAATGAAGGGGTTCTCTGAAGGAAAGAAGTTGGATGTGCAAACTTCATAACATTGTAGCCCGTAGAAAAATCCGACTAGCCGGGCACATTTTCGTATGGAGGACAATAGGATCCCTAAGACAACAATGAAATGTTCCCCCTGGTGCCAAACGACCAGAGGACGCCCCAGCAAAACCTGGCATAAAAGTTTTCTTCAAGATTTAAAGATACTCAAAATGACGCAGGAGGAAAGTGAAGCCTTCGCCTATGATTGAAATCGCTGGAAGATTATTGCTGCCCAGTATTCTACTCAGCATTGGAGAGACTATTACTACTACTTCAACACTTTTGGAGATGGGTATGCACGATGCCTTACAAAAAGTTACAAATCTGCATAATGCTCACATACCTAATCCCTAAAGTGTGAAATAGTAGATGAAGAGTACAAAATTACATAATTTATAAAAAACTTTATACACTGGATTTTAGAGATTTTCATAATTATTTAGCAGTAATGAAAATAGATACAATCTACATTTAATCATGAAAGAAATTTAATAGAAATTACAGTAGAGCGTCGTTTATCCGAAAGTCGGTTATTCGAAAGAATTCCAGTCGGCAAATTTAAATTTTCGCTAATGCAGTGGCGCTGCAATCTTTGGCTATATCTTGGGATATTGCAATATTTTTTTGTGGTGTGTATGTTTTAGCTGGCAGCACTGGCATTTTTGTGTAGCGTTTATTTCAGGAATGTGTGAATCGAACGTTTTTAATACTAGATCAACTTCTAAAGTATATATTTTTTGGTTTTTATATTTTTCATTATAGGAATGTGTGAATCGAACGTTTTTGATACTAGATCAACTTCTAAAGTATATTTTTTTTNTAGACATGTTGAAAATACTGTAATAATATAAACTTTTTCGTTGAGTTTAAACTATATTTTTATTTAAGTGTTTACAAATTATAGCTTTGGACTATTACTTTTCTTCCTAAGTGCTAAATATTTCCTGTGTTTATGTGAGAAAAATGAAAGCAAGTCGGGTAAGAGCAACAGTGTTAATTAACACATAACTATGTGAAAATTATCGTGATTGGTTGAGAAATAATTTTGAATATTTTCAGGAATTGTGCGTAGGATGGTTGGCGGTTCGCTTGCAGAAAAAGGCCAATTACTATTCTTAGTGAGTTTTTTTTAATCGCTTCTTCAAGATTTATACAAATAATTTTTTATCTATAAATAAATTTATAATTTAGGTATCCATATTCGAAAAAAATAAATTTCGTGGTGGGTTTTCGTTAATAACACCGAAAACATTAGTTGGAGCAGCGCATATTATAGATAGGTACTTAATGATTATTTTAATATTAATGAATAAAAATCTAATTGGACGTTAAATATTTTGATACTTTTTTTCGTTAGTGTTAGATATGAATTCAATTTTATTTAAAATTTTTAAGAATATTTTTAAGAAATACAATTAAAATAGGTAAATTAGTATAACATAAGTATAATCAGGGCCGGATTAACCCACTTTGGGGCCCTAGACATTTTCTTCTTCCGGGTCCCCTCCCGGCTCTTTCAATTAATAAATCTTGTTACTATTATTTCTATTAAATTTCATACGGACACTGCAGCTGCTTTATAGAAAATAAAAGCAAATTATTTAACAATATTTCACAGTATTTAATAATACATATAGTTAATATTGTTCTTATCGCTATAAAGAATATTCTAAAGTATTGGGAGTTTTACTTTCAATAAGAAGAAACATAAGAATACGAGGGTTGTTCAAAAAGTTCCCGAACTTAATTTATTACAAAAAAAAATACTTCACATACAATTTATTTGTCAGGGTCCCCTTCAAAGTAGTCTCCTCCGCAACATATACACTTATTTCAACGGTGTTTCCACTTTTTAAAACATCTTGGAACGCTTTTTCCGAAATGCTCATAAGCTCTTCCGTCGGTTTTCCCCCTATATCTAGAATGGTGGCAATTTTTTTTTATTTGAGCGCGTTTTTTAGTTTGTTGGAGAACGGTAAAAAGTCGCATGGGGCCACGTCAAGTAAGTAGGGTGGGTGGGGAAGCACAGCAGTCTTGTTTTTATCCAAAAAGTCGTGTTCTGAGGGAGAAATGAGCCGGCGCGATGTCGTGGTGAAAAAACCACTTGCCGCTCCTCCAAAGTTCGGGCCGTTCTCGCCTGATTTTGTCTCTTAGCCGTTTCATAACACCAGGTAGTACTCCGTGTTGACTGTCCGGCTGTAGGTAGGTATTCGTGATGCACAACCTCCTTTGCATCGAAAAAACAGTCAACATCACCTTAATATTTGAGCGAACTTGTCGAGCTGTTTTGGGGCGGGGGCTATTTCACCCACCCGTGAAAAGTTTCCGTGAAGGATTTTCCAAGTCTCACACAGAATTTCACAGAACAGCGCTGTTCTTTCAAAGAGCTGATTTCCGCGGATCCGAATTTTCGCCGAACCCCACAAACACCACTTCACATAAACGGCCGTAGCTAATCACCAAAACAAGATATCAACAAACGAGTTGAAGGAGGTTACTCGGGAGTTTCCGCGAACACAGCGCCTCCAAGCGGATTAAAAAATAATAAACTGGAGGTGCGCTATTCAATAAGTTCGAGAACTTTTTGAACAACCCACGTACATTTTCTTTAGATTTTAGAATTCACAATAACCATATAAAAAGCAATATATTTTTGTGTATTTGTTTATTATATACTGTTGTCCAACAGAAAAGTAAACTTATCTTATTTACAAATCTTTTCAAAATAGACAGTTTGATCGGGCCCTTCTAAAAACCAGGCCCTAGACATTTGTCTCATTTGTCTATGCGATGATCCGGCCCTGTGCAGGGTAATCATAATTATAACTAGCCAGTGTGGAACTTTTAATGCTTTGGTATAGGCCTAAGTGTTAGTTTTTTATTGCGGGGACACTTTTAAGAAACGTGGCTTATCGAAGATACATTGCATATTTGGCTGCCTTATAAGACGTTATCACATTTGATGAAAAAAGCACCGTAGAGGATCAGTTACGGTTGCCCATTGAACTCACTCTTTATCGCCTTCAAGTTTTATACTATCAGAATACAGACCATATTGATTACTTTTCCATTGTTATGGTCTCTGTACAGGATGAGTGTTTTGTACAAATAAAAGTTTTTTGCTTTCATGCTTAAAATGCCTTAATGGTGAATATTGGTACTAACTTTTTCTTATGGGAATGTTTACTGTGTATCTTAAAACGCCGTAATACATTCGTTCGCATTTTGACTGCTAAATATTTCTGTAGACCAGTGTTTTTCAATCTGTGGGTCGCGACCCCTAGGGGGTCGCGAAGCCTTACACGGGGGGTCGCGGGTAAAAGAAAAAGACGAGTGTTTGTAGGTCCTACACTACATTAAAGAACCTACAATTTCAGCGAGAAGGCTGTACCTGTTTATTATACAGTACAGTTGGTGTTTTGATTGACATTTAGGTCTGAACGATGGGTGTTGCCAGGGAAGGACCTGGGTGGGTACGGCCCATTCTAGAAAATGATACCCGAAAAAGTGTTGAGCTGGTTTGTAAAAAGGGGTAATAAGTAGAGAAGTAAAGGTTGAAGGCTCCAACCTTAAAAAAAAGTCAACAGCACTGCGAACCCAATGTTATTATGAAAAAAAGTATCATACTATACATGTCTTAGGTTATTGTCGATTATTCTTAAATTCTCAATTTAAGCAACAATAATTTTTCTCAACAGAAAAAAATTAAATACATAATTATTAAAATCACTGATACAGTTTTAATATGGCCCAAAAAGGGTCGCGTATTTTTTAACTTGTAAACGGGTCGCGTATTCAAAAAGGTTGAAAAACACTGCTGTAGACAATGTTGAATCGAAGTATTTGAATTACGATCACCGGGTTTAACTGTCGAACTAATAACCAATTTTGGATAATAAAGATAATGAATTATATCAAATAATTTAATAAACATTGATTTAAATAGTAAACAAATCAAATGATAAATATTAATATATTTTTTCGTACATAATCGGTTATCCGAAAATAAGTTACCCGAACAACCCGAGTCCCCAATTGATTCGGATAAACGACGCTCCACTGTATATCTTGTGTATTAGTATTAGCAGTGTGATAGCGCCGGACACCCGCTAGTTGACTTACATACAAATAGGTTAGTAGTTAAATATGCAGGGTCAGGGCCGGATTAACCCACTTTGGGGCCCTAGACATTTTCTTCTTCTGGGTCCCCTCCCGGCTCTTTCAATTAATAAATCTTGTTACTATTATTTCTATTAAATTTCATACGGACACTGCAGCTGCTTTATAGAAAATAAAAGCAAATTATTTAACAATATTTCACAGTATTTAATAATACATATAGTTAATATTGTTCTTATCGCTATAAAGAATATTCTAANCTTTCAATTAATAAATCTTGTTACTATTATTTCTATTAAATTTCATACGGACACTGCAGCTGCTTTATAGAAAATAAAAGCAAATTATTTAACAATATTTCACAGTATTTAATAATACATATAGTTAATATTGTTCTTATCGCTATAAAGAATATTCTAAAGTATTGGGAGTTTTACTTTCAATAAGAAGAAACATAAGAATACGAGGGTTGTTCAAAAAGTTCCCGAACTTAATTTATTACAAAAAAAAATACTTCACATACAATTTATTTGTCAGGGTCCCCTTCAAAGTAGTCTCCTCCGCAACATATACACTTATTTCAACGGTGTTTCCACTTTTTAAAACATCTTGGAACGCTTTTTCCGAAATGCTCATAAGCTCTTCCGTCGGTTTTCCCCCTATATCTAGAATGGTGGCAATTTTTTTTTATTTGAGCGCGTTTTTTAGTTTGTTGGAGAACGGTAAAAAGTCGCATGGGGCCACGTCAAGTAAGTAGGGTGGGTGGGGAAGCACAGCAGTCTTGTTTTTATCCAAAAAGTCGTGTTCTGAGGGAGAAATGAGCCGGCGCGATGTCGTGGTGAAAAAACCACTTGCCGCTCCTCCAAAGTTCGGGCCGTTCTCGCCTGATTTTGTCTCTTAGCCGTTTCATAACACCAGGTAGTACTCCGTGTTGACTGTCCGGCTGTAGGTAGGTATTCGTGATGCACAACCTCCTTTGCATCGAAAAAACAGTCAACATCACCTTAATATTTGAGCGAACTTGTCGAGCTGTTTTGGGGCGGGGGCTATTTCACCCACCCGTGAAAAGTTTCCGTGAAGGATTTTCCAAGTCTCACACAGAATTTCACAGAACAGCGCTGTTCTTTCAAAGAGCTGATTTCCGCGGATCCGAATTTTCGCCGAACCCCACAAACACCACTTCACATAAACGGCCGTAGCTAATCACCAAAACAAGATATCAACAAACGAGTTGAAGGAGGTTACTCGGGAGTTTCCGCGAACACAGCGCCTCCAAGCGGATTAAAAAATAATAAACTGGAGGTGCGCTATTCAATAAGTTCGAGAACTTTTTGAACAACCCACGTACATTTTCTTTAGATTTTAGAATTCACAATAACCATATAAAAAGCAATATATTTTTGTGTATTTGTTTATTATATACTGTTGTCCAACAGAAAAGTAAACTTATCTTATTTACAAATCTTTTCAAAATAGACAGTTTGATCGGGCCCTTCTAAAAACCAGGCCCTAGACATTTGTCTCATTTGTCTATGCGATGATCCGGCCCTGTGCAGGGTAATCATAATTATAACTAGCCAGTGTGGAACTTTTAATGCTTTGGTATAGGCCTAAGTGTTAGTTTTTTATTGCGGGGACACTTTTAAGAAACGTGGCTTATCGAAGATACATTGCATATTTGGCTGCCTTATAAGACGTTATCACATTTGATGAAAAAAGCACCGTAGAGGATCAGTTACGGTTGCCCATTGAACTCACTCTTTATCGCCTTCAAGTTTTATACTATCAGAATATAGACCATATTGATTACTTTTCCATTGTTATGGTCTCTGTACAGGATGAGTGTTTTGTACAAATAAAAGTTTTTTGCTTTCATGCTTAAAATGCCTTAATGGTGAATATTGGTACTAACTTTTTCTTATGGGAATGTTTACTGTGTATCTTAAAACGCCGTAATACATTCGTTCGCATTTTGACTGCTAAATATTTCTGTAGACCAGTGTTTTTCAATCTGTGGGTCGCGACCCCTAGGGGGTCGCGAAGCCTTACACGGGGGGTCGCGGGTAAAAGAAAAAGACGAGTGTTTGTAGGTCCTACACTACATTAAAGAACCTACAATTTCAGCGAGAAGGCTGTACCTGTTTATTATACANTATGTGAA